CGAATGGTTTATCCCATGCTAATCGGCAAAACCACGCTGAAGTTGGCAAATCACGTACGTAATTATGTCCTTTGACCCAAGTTATGGCATTTATTTCAACGGTAAAAGAATGAAATGCGTACAAATGTCGTTGAAGTTTTGTCATTATTAATTATTGCATAACGTAGAGTAGATGAAAAAAAGGCTGGCTTACCATGTGACTCGTTATTAATTGAAGTTTTATTCAAAACTCTTTGTTTTGAGCTAATAGTATGATGTATGAGATTTCAAAGTACAAAAAAAAAAAAAAAAACTCTTTTGTCATTTATTGTAGAATATTGTCAATTACTACATATTTTTCATGATGGGATTAGATTATGCATAGAATATATCATAATGTGAATTATTAAAATTTTTTCCTTTTTGGTAAGTGCATTCCTCCGAGACGTTGGCATCGAATTCTTTTTCTAATTTTAGTATAATGATGAATTAAACAAGTGTATGCAAATATTCTTTTCAATAAGATAAATAATAAAGTAGAAGAGTTTACGGATAAATTAAAAATTTTTAAAAATGTATGTAAATTTTGAGAGTTGAAATTTTCATAATTTTATTGGATTATGAATTTTATTTGATTGATAATACAAATATTCTTAATTTCTATTTATGTTGTAGTTTATAATATAACTCTCTTTCTTTCCTCTCCCAATGTTATTAATTTTGGATTCCTAATTAATCATTTTTTATATAATTTTCTTGTTATTTATACTTCAACTTAATTCTTTTTATTTATTTATTTATCCTTTTTTTTAATTTTTATTATACACAATCTTCCATCTTTTTCTTATTTTCCTTCTCTTTCTCAAAATTTTTTTGGTGCATCATTTTTTCGTTCCTTATTTCATACGTCTTCCTTTTTTTTTTATTCTTTTTCATTTTCCTTTATGTATACATTTACACCATAATTACTCACTTTCAAAACTTTAAATACTATTTTTGCACTAATAATTTCATTTTATTTAACATATTTCATTCTTATATTTAATTCGTAAAAATTTTTATTTATGCTATTAATACTGCAATTTTGATTTGTGCTACCTTTAATTTTTTTTATTCTCTTTATGTCTGCCTCATTTTTTTTCTGTTACTTTTTCTCCTTTCTCTTCATCATATATACAATGGATATACAGTTAAAATTTTAATTTAATTATGAGAATATTCATTTTTTTATTTTCTTTAATTATTTATATGTGTAATCAGTTTTTTTAAAACGTTTAATTTCATTTTTTACGTCATTTCATTATGCTATCTATAATTAATTTTCTTATCTTTTATTTTTCTTTATCTCCCTCCTTATTTTTTTCTTATTTCCATTTTTTCTTTTATCTTAATCTTTATTTAGTGACAATTTACTTTTCAAATTTACGATTTTTTATTTTTAATATAGTAGTTTTTACATTACTTTTATGTTATTCATGACATTTTTTCACCAATATTCATAACACCTTAAATACATATCTCTAAAACAATTACTTCCATTAAGCTTTTTAAATTCGTTATATATTATAAATTTAGTTTTTTTTTTTTAAATGATCTTTTACTTCCTTTTATGTTTTATTGGCTTTTCCTTCTATCTTGACCTTCATTCTTTTTCTTTTTTCTTTCTCCCCTTGATTTTTTTTTCGTTTTTCTTTGTCTTTTCCTTTCTTTTGCCTTTCTAACATGCCCTAGAAAATAGATAAAAAAAAACTTTGAAAAAACTTCTGACAATCTCAAAATAATCTTCGGCCCCCTGAACTTAAAATTCATTATAAGTTAGATTACTTCACGCATAGACAACGTCATATCAAAAGAAAATGAAGAAAAAAAATAAAAGAATAATAAAAATGACCTATGTGCTAAAGGTAAACCTGTCCCTAGATGGAGTAGTCGACTATGCTTTAGGCAATATTTTTCAAGCCCAAACTTGGCTTGTGAAATTTTTTATTATTAAATAGTTATTTTGATTAAATTTTAATTTTACAAGTATTTAAAAATTAATTCTAATATAAAAACATTTTTTTGACATTTTAATATTAAATTTAAATCTAATTGGCATAAGTGCATGGGTGGATCGTCGACCGAACCATGAGTATTAATTCATCTATGCTATGGAAAAATTCGTATTAAAAGTCAAATGCTAAAGCGTTTATGTATGTCATAATTATCTTCAATGACCATTATATTCATGGGCTACATCAACATGTGTATATTTTAGAAATTTCAATATATTGATGTTGATATAACTTATTTATTGTTTATCAATGATATATGATTTATATTTGATGCACCGTAAGTATATAGATTTGTATATTTTTAGTGAATAGAATGATGATATCTTATTAATGAAGTGAATTAGATGATATCACTTCATTAATAAATAAGGCTTTTAAAAAATATTAATTTTTATATAGTTATTTTAAGGGTTGATATTTATTCATTAATAAAGTGACATTATTTGATTTACCGACAATATATAGAATCTATACATTAACAGTATATTAAATATGAACTCATTTATTTATTTATTATTTATCAATGTTGAGATCAATTATTAAGAAGCTTTTACATGCATGGCTAGACCGAATGAATATTCAGGTAAAAAAAGGACTTCCCTTTCATAGGGCATAGTTTGAGCAAAATTTTATATCATGTGAGAGTTCCCAAGCGAGACATGATGTAATAAGGCAACCGCCTCAGCTTAAAGCATTTTCTTTGCTGATAAGATAATAAGTGCCAAAAAAAGAAAGTAAGACATTGCATTTGGAGATCATCTAATAAGGTTTAATTTAACATTGTGATTGAAAATAGCTTTTATGTTTAAAAGCTGTTTTTAATCAAACCTTGAAACTAAAAAATAAAGAAAAAATGATTTCTTAGTTCAAAAGCATTTTGCAACCAAATCCAAAAACTACTTAAGAGGTATTTTTATAGTGAAAGTGTTTTTGGATAAAAAAATCGCTATCTTACTCCATATTTTTAATATTTTATTATTTTATGTATATTTTTTTAGACATTTCAATTATTAACAATACTTTTTCACAATATTAAACACTTAAAATTTTTAATCATACTTTTTTTACTACACTTTTTAAATGTGATTTTTTTCAATCTAAATTTTCCAACCCTAAACAGCCATATTGAACTAACCCTTAATGTGACCTAGCACTATGTTGCATGAAGGAAAAGGGAAGAGAAAGGTAGCCATTGACATCGACTTGTAATTCTTTTGTACATGGATTGCCCCTTCCACTTGCTCAACAAAGGGATATATGGTCAAATATTACTGCAGCTCTGGTCATGACTCATGACCATGCCTGAAAGAGAAAGGAGAAAGAGAAATATTATGAGAGGAGGAATGGCCTTGAAAATTACATGAAACATGGGTTTCTGTGTCCTTGCCTTACAATATGGCATATATGGATAGGTTTCTTAATGTGATTTGAGCCATGTTACATGTGTCCGTTAACTACTACAAATCTACAATAAATACAAACAACCCCCTTCAAATTTATCATCATTATGTACAAAATTACAGAAATATACCACATGCAATATATTGTAAATACATAATTTACAGCATATAGAAACAGTTTAGCAGAAGAGGGCAAAAGAAAAAAAGAGAAAGGAAATTGTAGTAAAGTATGAAAATTGTATGACCAAAATATCTAATACACATAACCTAGTAACATATATCTGGCTAACTTTATGTTAAGTTTTTGAAAGATTTAATATATATAGGTCTTGCTTGCTATACAAGATTATGATAGAATATGATAAAATGTATTGTGAATAGAATTAGATTAAATAATATTATCTTATCTTATTTTTGATATGTACAAAGATTAACATAGGATAATTTATTTATTGGTCAAAATTATCTTCCTCAAAGCTTATACAATTTCAATTATTAATATAATTTTTAAAAGTATAATAAGACATAAAATTTAATCTCATGTATTAAAAATAATTCTTTCCACTTTGGGAGGATTGAATCATCTTATACCAAGAGAATAATAATCCTTCTTGTATACCTATTACTTTCAATTAGATACAAATCAAACATAATATAAAATGATTATCATACTATCATATCTATTATCTTATACAATAAACATGACCATAATTTATTGTTGCTAATTTTTTATGCTAAAATGTTGATTGATCTAGACTCTATATTGGTATTGAATTGTTACCTGTAAAATGAACAGAATGAGAGAGACTGGAGCTTGACTTCGGATCAACTTTCATATGATCTAGTCAGTAAAAATGTGAGTGATTAGAGAGGGAAGGGAGATAATTTGGGAAAAAAAAGCTTATTTGTGATAGTTAGACCTAATTCGTATACTTTTATTGTAGTCAAACACCTTTAAAATAAAAAATATATATATTATGTCTTAATTTGCAACGTCAACATGCCAAACTACTTAATTTTCATCACAAAATACATTTTTTTATTGTCAAATTTATATATAATTTTTACTAAAATTTTAAATCATATCATTTTTTTTTTTTTTAGTATTGTTTTCTTTTTATATCATTATTTGTGTTTAAATTTATCAAATTTAAATATAATAATACTCACTTTTCATATATAGTAATGGTAATAATAAAATACTAATAATAATATAATATAAAGGAAATGAAAATTACTTATATACCCCTAATTGAAAATTTCCCATAATCGAATTAAAAGCGTTAAATGAAAAATAACAACAGTATCAACCACATTTCTAGTGACATATTTATGGCCATGTTAAAAAACTCATCCAAAATGGAAAAGGGCGGAAAAGCAGAGAAAAAAATTGTTTCTCATGTAAAAGTTAACTAAAAAGGAAAAAGAAAGGAGGCTAAAACCAATTGCGGGCCCCTATTATTCCTATATTGATCATTGATCACCGTTCACCAGGTTCAGAACGCCGCAAATTGGGAGGGGGGGGGGGGGGTGGATGGGCTTATATAAGCTCCATTTAAGCCTTTGCTCTCCCACTTCAGGTTTTCCCTTCCTTGCAGTCTTCCTTCTCTGCTTTTTTCTTTTTTTTGTTCTCTGGCAGACATATAACAAACACATATCCACGAAACGTTTCTCTTTTAAAACCACCATGGGAAGACATCAACAGCGATACCGCGGCGTCCGTCAAAGACATTGGGGCTCTTGGGTCTCTGAAATTCGACACCCCGTCTTGTAATTTCCTTGAAACTTTCTGTTTTTTAGTTTTGTTTAGTTTTTTCTGTTTTTTTTTTTTTTTTTTCAGCTATATAGGAAAGACGTTTTATATATGATCATTTCAATTTTTGTTTACAAGAGAAAGGCCTCTTTGTTTTGCAGGAAAACTAGAATATGGCTAGGCACATTTGAAACGGCTGAGGATGCAGCAAGAGCATATGATGAGGCGGCAAGGCTAATGTGTGGGCAAAAAGCACGAACCAATTTTCCACACAATCCCAATGAGCCTCAATCTTCTTCATCAAAGCTGCTCTCAGCTACCTTGGCAGCTAAGTTACATAAATGTCACATGGCAGCACTCCAACTGGCTAAAAAGAATGCAGCAAAAGAGTCTTATGGAGCAGAATGTCACCCTTTGGCTCCCACCGGAAGCAATATTGGAGAAATGGATTGCCGGCGGCAGCCGGAGAACATATGGTTAGGAGAGGAAAGTCAGGTGGGGAATGAAGAGCAGTTCATTCCACTAGAAGATGATCATATAGACCAGATGATAGAGGAGTTGCTTGATTACGGATCTATTGAATTTTGCTCTGTTAGTTCAACTTAAGGTCTAAAATTAATCATTTTCCAAATGTTAATGCACTTTTTTTTTTCATTTTTCTAGTTCTTGGTAATTTAGGTCACAAGATTAGATGCTACATTTTGCTATTGATTTGCATAAAGTAGTGTGAATGCATTGGAATAAAATATTTAACATATGATCTAAATTACATGGAAGATATATTAAGGCATGCAGCCGCCAGTGCTATCAATTTGTTTTTCCTTTTCTTCTATAAACAGCAAATGTGTGAGGATGAGATGAACAATCAATCTTGCAACTTCCACCCTTTCAAAGTGTGATTATCTGCTCATTGAGTCACATGCAAATATCTTGGGTAGTATATGGATTTCTTAATGCTACATGTTTGCTTGGTGAGAAGTTGATTGAGGGAATTGAAAGGCAAGAATAGTCCAAAATTTGGAAAGTGCAAAGATTGAAGAGGAACCACAGGAAGGTTCAATGCTTCCTTTAAGGATGAACTTTTTCCTCCATTTCTTTTCCACGCAATTCTTGGGGGCATTGGAAAAAGTATAAGCACTTTGTTTGAATTGGGCTCCTAGTGTGAATGCACAGCTGCTGTGCTTTCAAAAAAGAAATTAAAAGTAAGTTCCTAAAATTTCTATATGCATTGCCAACCTCCATTGGTAGAATTTAGATTTTCAATTTCCACATTACAAATTTAAATTATGCCAATATCAAATATTTAAAGACGAAATATATTAATGTAATTTAATTTTAGAATTTACACCCAATATCAAAATTACTACTGCATAGAAGAAATTGTTACATAAGATACTAATGGAGAGAAGAATCATCAAATTGACTTGCCAGTAAAAAAAGAAAAACAAAATAATACCCAATTTACATTAGTGACATTTCCAAATGATAACCAGTAATTTTCAATTAAGACTACATATATACAAGACAAATAGCTAAATTTCGTACAGTTTTTATTTTTTGGGTCGTTTAATAATTTTTTAAAAATAAGAAATATCCAAGTCATGGGCTGCCAATGTGAAAGAGATTTGAGTTTCTTGGAGGCCATGGTGATGCATTGTCTCTCTCAGTGAACATTCTCTTTTTTTTTTTTTTTTTTTAATCTGATATAAAGTTTGAAAGCTTTGCTCTATCCATCCAGCACAGATCCTTTGATTTCTTTAAAAGCAACACTTTTTGAGGTGCTAGCTATAAAGCTGTTTAATTGCAATTTACAGATTTTTAATTTCATATTTCCATCAATATGTATTTTGAGAAAATTGAGACCATTTATTTTTTTTTTAAATAAAAAACCATTGCCTATATATTTCAAATGAAAAAAAAAAAAAAAAAACTTATACGCCAGGGGTGGAACTTAGCGGGGGCAAGTAGGGGCTCGCTGTTAAAAAAAAAAAATCTAAGTTTATTTTCAGTGAGGCAGGGGTGAATCTGTTATAGATTTTAGTGGATTGAGCCCGTTGAAGAAAAAAAAAATTCTTAAGTTTATATTGTTTTCTGTGGGTTTCATTGAAAAATGAAAAAATTTTCACTTTTAGTTTATCTTTTGCGGGGTTTTTATTGAAAAAAATTTCTTAAAGTATTTAAAATTTAATTTGACTTCTCTATTTACATTTTTACAAATTACAAGCATAAATATAAATTGATAACGAAATTATTATGTAAAATTTTCAAAATATAAATTGTGTTTGTAAATTTTAAACAATTATAACTAAATATGAAAATTTTATAATTTAATATATTTAAAGTAAGCTCTAGTAACGAAAATTTTTTATTCCGTTACTATAATATGCATATTTCCAACACTGAAATATTTGAACTGCACAAATAAATTTAACAAATATACAATTAAAAAATATCATTTGTATAAAAATAGGCATGTTTAGGCCATATTTCTATGTTATTAATAAATCTATATATAAGAATATATTTGGATTATATATTTTATTCCAGATTGCTTGCAAAATTTAACAGTCCAAGATAATTATTCAGTGTGTGATCAGATTCCAGCCTTGCTGATCAATCACAGATACCCTACCAAATTGCAGAAGAGGTTAGCTATATATCCGCCACCATTTTTAGAAATCATGGTTGATTTCATGTTACACAACCTTGTAAAAATCATTTTATATTAAAAGCAAACTGTCCAGCACTTCAAACATGGCCTCACAAAATTCAAGTATAATTCCTGAAGAAGAAAAGCATTGTTCTTTTGAGACAATCTGCACTGACGCATCGTCACAAAATTTTTATCTCTCATCTCACTTTTTGAAAGAGTGAGTTATTTGTTGTCTAATGTAAATATGCGTGCATGAAAAGATCACTCATGCTTTTACAATTTCCAACAATTTTTGGACCAACATGTTACAATGTTGGAGGCCTTACATTGTCAAAATTTCTTCCCTTGATTTGCTTTGCTTTGCTTTGCACCAGACGGGTTAAGCTTTGGGATTACAGAATATCAGTCTTGTCAAACAAAAGGCAACCCAAAGACTTAAAATATAAAATCTTGTCGATTGTCAATATTAAATAATTAATTGGTATAGCTATGATTTTTTTTTTTAATTTCTTTTGATTTCAGAATATCTTTTCCTGTAGGTTGATATCCAAGGCATGATATATTGCTTATTAATGAGAAAAAAAAGAAAAATAACTTTTCCTCAAAGGATGCATTTTATTTTCAAAAACTAACACTGTTTCCAATTTTCCATTTTAATAGAAAGAGAAAATTCCATTAAATTTTTTTTTAATGGTTTGCATTAATTTATTGGAGAATTGGAAACGATCAAAATAAGTTTTATTTTTTGGTTGTAAAATATTTGAAATAATAACAATATTCATTTTTTCATCATTAGGTTAATTGCTTCTATTGTCCACAAAATGGTCTTTGTGAAATTAATGCAAATGAATTTACACTTGCATGCATTGATCGTTTTTCTTTAGTTTCCTTGTTAAAAACTGTTAAATTTCTCTATTTCTTTTTTTAACTTTTTGCTTTAATGTATTTTATACTTAATTGCATACAATAATAGTTTATTATGGGAAAAGAAATATGTATAAATCTTGATAGATCATTGGTATTGAAGTCACTTCAAAAATTAAAGGTCTCAAATTTCAATTTTAATAATAGTTAAAATTAAAGATGTTAATTTTATCCATATTCAATAAAGAATTCGACTTTTTATTAGAATGCAAATGGAGATGGATATTATATTATGGGTATAAGGATAGAGATGTATAAGATTTTAAATTTTTATTAGGCATGGGGATGGGAATAGATAATTTAGTATCCTCCCCATACTTGTACCCTATATATATTTATATATATTTAGTAAATATATATTTTTTATTAGATAATATAAATTATTATTTTAGATTAATTATAATTAGTATATTTTTATTAAAAAAATATATATTAATATATATTTACAAAAAAATTACATAAATATACAACATAAAAATAAAAAAATTTTAGTTTTCATTTTTTATAAAAACTATGGGTATGGGGATTATCCATAGCTATTAAATGCTCACGGGAATGAAGATGTTAATAAATTTAAAATATCCATTGAATATTGGTATGGAGATGTGTATAATATAAAAATCTAGAGATGATGATGAAAAATGTTTTATCCTACTCATACTTTATCAATTGATATCTCGAGTTAAAAAATAAACGAAAATATAATCCTACTCATACAAGAGTAAATCTTTTGTATTTATTCCTCGTAAATTTCTATTTAATTATATTATATTTCTTTTAACATATATTCTAATAATCTTTTAAAACATTTTTAAATGTTGGTGGGCTTCATTCCTCTAATCTAACCCCATCCTCCATGATTAATCATCTTAGTTGGGAACTTATTTTGTCCCCCACATTAATGTTAGTGAGATTAAGAATAATGGTTTTTTTTTTTTTTTTTCACCTAGAGAGCGTGCAATGTAAATAATTAATACATCAACCAGCAATGAATTAAAAGCATCCATTTATGATTGCATTTCCATTTTCTCATTTTCTTAATCTCAGTCACACATCATATTCCTTTTAATATTAAAACAATAAAATGAAAGAAATGAGATCCAATATTGAACAGCAGAAGTTCAATTAATTATTGTAAAAAGACAAAATCATGAGAGACTAAAAGGGGCGATGGCTTGTTTTTCTCATTATATATGTCTTTAGTCAAAATTAATCAATCATAGCACATGAAATATCATGAGGAGAGACAATTAATTACGAGACACTCAGCATGAAAATCCTTAATCATATTTATGTCATGCCTATGTTTCCACAAAAGTCCTTTTCGTGGTTAATTATTTGCCTATCCGAAATGCCTAATAATGCTCTTCCATTCTTCACATAATTAATATAGGAAATGGTTCCCCTTTCCAAAAGTGCTTTGAATGGTTTTCATCTTGAATTAGTGATTGAAGTCTAGCAAAAAAGCAAAAATTTCTTTTAAACTAGCCATATATAAATACTTTTCTAAAGCGTAGTGAGTGAGAAAATTTTAAATGTTATAGATTATTTAGTATTTACATTAATTTGGCATATCAAAGTTTGTGTATTATATATGTTGTTGTTATGTGCATGTAAGTCTGTGCGTTAATTAAGGCTTCAGAGCTGAGCTTATCGACAAGAGTAGAACCAAGAGAAGTTTCTTCCCCCTTCTAGTTCTTGTAACAACAAATATTGCTTTGCAAATTTTTTGTCATATAAAAATATAGTGTCGATTCAGAAATTTTTTCAAGAATGTTTAAATTTGTTCACTAATAATTGTTAATTTATTTATTAATTTTGACGACGAAAAGGGTATTCAAATAAAAATTTGAAATGTCTAAAAATTTTTTTTTTTTTTTTTTGTTTTCCAATATTTAAGGGTGCCATGGATCCGCCTCTTAATAGAATTTATAGACAAGTCTAGAACAAAAAAAAAAAAAAAGAAAATCTCTCTCCATGTATACTTGTTTTCCTTTTGATTCTTTTTCCCTCTTCCCCATCCCTTCACGTGCACAAGCATGTTACCCAATAGTGTGTCCCCGTTTTCATGCACGTTAGCTTTCACATGGTTTTAGCTAAATCATGTATGATCAATGCCGAACACATGCCACTGGCCCAAAGGCTGCTGGGCATTATTACATCTTTCTTAT